TGTGGAGGCTGAGTGTTCTGAACATGGATGTAACAATAAAGACCACAAAATTACCAATATTGGTGCTTTTTTTCACGAAGACTCGCCAATCGAAAAATTCTTACAAAATGCAAACTGAAATAAAATTTAGATGACCTTAGAGCACAGATCGCTGGCCATTTTTAACTGTGTATAGAAGGTTATCTTTGTGATATGTTATTTATTGGAACGAATTTATTTATTAGGGAGAATGTCATCGAGAAATATCGAGGACTCGGAAACGAATGATGAGATATTGTACGTCTTTATTTAACAGGTTGAATGAAAAGGGTTAGTGAAAAACAGTTCCTTTTTTTTTTTATTTTTTTTTTTTTGCATGGGCAATTGACTGCTAGGTCATTTCAGCCCCGAGCGGAAGTAAAATATTGCAACACACACTCAATACACAATCACACCAATAAATACATTCTCACCTATGTACATTGATCGCACTCATTCTGTTTAGTAGATGGAGGACTCGATATTCCTCCATCTACCTGTTCACTATAATAAACTAATCTAAATTGGGGTCGATGACGTACTTGTATAAAATTTCCGTCATTGAACCTAAGCACAGATACTCCTGGAGGGACGAAGGTGATGCTACATTTCACTATCAACCCTCACCACTCACACCAATAAATACATTCACTTATACAAGACCCACAACACAAAACACATCATTTAACTTCTATATACAATAAAAAAAATTCCCAATTCCCTTAAAAAGCGGAATAGGGGACCCTGAAACTCGCTGCTGTGTCCGAGAACCCCTTTTAAATCTGGCCTCATGCCTACTCGCGCCCTGTAGGGAGCCAAGGCATGACACGCTTCGATTATGAGCGACACCTTTTTCAATAAGGGACACCTGCGGGGGAATTGGCCCATTAGCAAGTGCCCATGTGTCAACCGCGTGTGACCTATTCTTAATCTGGCAAGAACTATTCCTTCTTTACGGCTCAGATCCTCGGGCCACCTGAATGCCGTGCTCTTAACACGAAGGAGCCTCTCAGATGACCCTGTCCAATGACGCTGCCATTTATCGCCTATCATCTTTTTTACAGCTCGAACAATTCCTATTTGAATCAATGTACTGAGTGAATGTAATTTATTACCGTGAAAAGAGATACCCGAGGAATACACCGAGGCAATTTAAATAAAATCTGGAGTGAAAATGTAATTTTTTATTTGCGTAAATGGAGTCATCTTGCCTATTACATCGATGAATATCGAGCAATCTAGGGTAGTGTGATCGAATTCTGGTGTAAATGTAATTTATTAGCGCAAATGGAGGGACTACTTCCTTATTACCGTGATGAATATCTGGTACTATGGTGCTGTGGGAATGAAGTCTGCTTGAATATAATTTATTAGCGTGCATAGAGGGGGCTTCTTACCCAATTGCCCCGAGGAATATCGAAGAATATCTGAGGCAGTGAGAATGAAGTCTGGTGTAAAAATGTAATTTATAAGCGTGAATACAGATGCTTCTTACCCAATTTATCCAAGGAATATCAAAAAATAAGCGGGGCAGTGTGAATGAATTATTTCCTTTTCGGTAAACAATTTAAAAAAAGACATCCGGTAAAATTACAAATATCACGAAAAACCTGACAAACTTGCATATTTTCATGCAATAATTATACTTAAAATCGTTTATATTTCTCTTTCTCAGTATCAGTATTGTTAGAAGCGTATGTTTCAATAATATACAAGCTTTTTTTTAATAATTAGATGGCAAAACAAGGTTAGGGTGTTTGAGACCTTTCCTCGAGTTCTTGAACAAATTTAAAAATTAATATTTATGATCAAATCAACATAAACGGCTTGTTAAACCTTCATTACATCTCTCTTTAAAATACGCTGCTGGTAAGAAAACTGGAAAAACGAAAGCATTTGATCTGTAGTTTCTGAATATACAAACGTCATATGACTGAAAATATAAGTAATACTACCACTTTGTTTTATTAATACTCTAATGATACTAAAAATCATGCATAAAACCGAATGGCTTTTTTATGTATACACTAATATTTATTAATTAAAAATAAAAATACTTAAAACATCGTCAATCTCTGCAAAGGCCGATGAAGGAAAGTTAAGAATCATTCAACAACACCTACATAATTGGCCTGAAGTTACTTTTTGAAATGTTTTTTTCATTTAAAATGCTAAAATGTGTTATAGCTCGTTTTCAACTAAATTCACGGTTTACTTTCATTTATTATGAGTTAAATTTTTTTTAAATAAATAGGAAGCACATTGTGTAAAAAAAGATTTAAATATTCCTACCCATCCTTTGCATACAACTGGACAAATATTGACACTACTAAATATTCAACCGTTATTTAATCATTTTCAAAGTCATCACTCGAATTAGGTCGCATGACAGACAGATTGCCACGAAGAAAAAATTTGGATGTTGTCAACGGGAAGTCGATGTCCTGCTCGACAAATCCAGTTATTACGAGGGAAAAAATCAGCTATATCACTCCTTGAAGAGAAAAAGTTGAGTAGGACATGATTGCGTCGGTACAACGCTATTCTATTGAAATCAAATGGAAATATTTTCTAATTGTCCTGGGAGAAAGTTTCTCAAGAGATTACTGTCAATGTACACTTCTGTTTTACAATCATATCATTGATCTTTCACCGAAACGTCATCTGAAACTTCAATTCCCAAGGTTGCTGTTCCGACAAGGTTCCTACTTTATTATAAGGCCTTTGTGAAGAAAAAGTAAGAGTAAAACGTGGCTATTTAAGGATCCAATGACCGTTCGACAACAAAAATCCAATGATTGACCAATTTTTTCTCAACGAAATAATAAATTATGATTACTTCATCATAAACTTTGATTGAGTTTTGGTACTTGAATACTGTTTGGCATCACTTCGCTCATCGTTCCTTCTTGGAATTGAGTAATCTTGTCGATCAGGACGGTGACACTCCCCTCGACAAAACTCGCGATTAAGGCGTCAGACTCTCGGTTAGGAACTCCCGCGGTCGCGGGTTCCATTCCCTCCGTCGCCTTTAGATTTTTCTGACGCATAAGGGGAAGATGGCCGCAATGAAAATTGTCACTGCATTCATCAATTCAAGGTCTCAAAGGACCCTAGAAATGAGTTTCTTCGATGGAAAAGACAGGAAGGAGTACAATAAACTGTAAACCTGCAGTGCTCAGTTGGAACTCCTTCAGGTCCAATTAAATGAAATAAGATAAATAAAAAATTACAAAAACTAAAAGAAGCTTCCAGAAATGTAAGGCAAAAAAAGACCTTTTTGAGCTAAATTAGCAGGGGGGGATTTTCTTTTTATACGATGTCCAATGTTTCCAAAATTCTTAAGCATAGCTCATCTAGAATGGTATTATTACATTAGTTGGGGCGCTGCCTTTTCCTTCCTTGAGACAACATAAACCACCTTTGGTTTTTATGTCATTATGAGTAAGAAAAATGAGGATGAAATCATCAAAAACTCCCGAAATGTTTTATTTACATAGGCTAGAATTATGCCATCGTGTGGTTTACAGGCTGACTCCTTACTTTACCCTTTTGATAGTTTATGTCCTTTCAATATTATTACCATTTCTGTGATTGCGAAAAAAAATCGGAGGTATTTGGAAGGCTAACAATTTGAGAAAAATCTTTATTTTTTGATTTTCCTAAAAATTTGTATTCAGGAGTTTGTTGGGTGCAGAAAACGAATATCAACTACATTTCTTTAAAAAAATTAATCTACTTTGATACCTCGCTCGGTCACAAAATAATTATATATTGCATTTCAATAGATCGCTCGAAATTTGCTGCCCGCGAAGTAGTCTGAAATGTTTTTTAGCTAGAAACAAAGTTGACATTCGTTTTCTGCATCCCAAAAACCGTGAAAACAAATTTTTGTAATAATCAAACAATAATTTTTTTCCTCAAATTGCTCGCCTTCTACTAGCCTCTTTTTTTGTCGAATATCAAAATAATGATAAATTAAATTTGAACCAACTCCACTGATTTACGAGAAACTTTAATCGGGTTTAGAACCATATGATCTATGGCAAAATTCGTAAATTTGGCGTCCGTAAATAAGTTGGAATGGAATATATAATATAAAACGTTTCAGTAGTTTTTATTTATTTTATCCTAATTTTTTCAATTATAATAATTTAAAATCTAAACGTTGTTGACATAGCCTAAAAGAAGAAAGGTCCAACTTTTCAATTGTGCAATAATGTTGAATTTTGAACACCGGGCGTAGGCGCAAAAAAGACACAGGCAAATCCGCCAAAATGTCTATTGTTTTATTTCTATGAACATCTGTATGTCAAAGTTTTAGAGGGTACTTAAAACGAGTAAGCATTTTGTTTAACTATTTTTTCCTACTTTACGAGAAGCGTGTTTTTGGTTTTTATCACTTTTTATATATTTAATCTCATTTAATACAATGTTACATATTATTTTCTTATCCTTAGAAGACTATCAAATCATTTGATATTTAATAACCTTAAAATACGTACAAAACAAAGAAAGAAAATCCTATTTTAAAAAATTACATTAGTTTTTTTGGTATCAATCTCGGACAGAAATCTAGTATATTTCGACGTAGTATCACCAAATAAATTTTCATTAAAACCGTATTCTCCCTTGTCAGTGAAGTATGAAGTTTTCGTTTGTGAGACACATATCTTAAAACTTCAAATCAACAGTAGCCAAAAATATTGTTCGATTTTCATTATTATCTAGTACACCACTAGGTCGAAATAGTTGAAAAATCACTGGGTTTATCGTAAATCCCTTTCAAAATAAAGGGTTAGTATTGATCCATACTATCTGATTAAAGCCAGTAACTTTATGTAGAATAAGCCAGGTTCCTCACACAGTTTCTGTGTAGGGATTAAATTTTACCTTTTCTATTTTGATTTTCTGAGTAATGAAAACACATTTATTGTTTAAACGGGGGTTGTAGTTAGTCCTAGCGTGTATTTCGGACTTACCTCAGTTTGCTCTGAAATGTTTCCAGAAGGTGTGCCGAACTTTAGCAGACAATCGATGATCGCAGACCTGGAATCAGGAAAAAATTGTTTAAGGCGCGTCGTCGAAAAAAAAATAACAATAAAAATTAAAAGGATGTCGCGCCGCCTCCAGGGCGGTTGACAATTAAGTCATAAAGGCTTTGACTAAGTGCTTCATTATAGGGGCTTAAGGGCCGTCTCGTCCAATTGCTTCAAAGGAGTGGGTGTGATGGCCGTGAAACATCTAGATGAACTCTCGTTTTCCACATTTCAAGGCATAGAGTCACAATATTTGAAATATTTCCGCACAAAAAATTAAAACCAAATATTAAAACAAGTAGTTAATTTATATTAATTTGTACAATTTATTAGTCATTACGCCCACGATTTCCTCTTGCCACATGATAAAAGAATCCTGGCTTCGGAAACGCTATGAGATGATTAAAATTACGATGTTTAAATAATTAGTCATTTATTTAACCAAATCAATTTCTAAAATCATATAGATGTTTGGTTATATGTATGAAATTGCTTTCTTTTATGGATAAAACATGTATGATTAATTCCAGAGCAGCGGCATATTTAGCCGAAGGCCGTGGGTTCGAATCCCGCTTGTGACACTAACTTTTTCATTTCAACCAAAACCTTACTTAAAAAGATTATGTATGATTAATGTTTTGTTTAGTATATTTGTATGAAATGTTGAATTCAACTTCAAGTTCTAACGGACAAAGCCATGCAGATTTTTTTCCCCCAAACACAGGTTCATAAGTATTTTTCCTTTTCTTACCTGCATTCCTGACGTGTAGTAAGGTAATGTTCTCAAGGAATGCGGCTAATTTTTTTTACAAACTCCATTCTCATCATCATTCCCTGGGACAATTTGTCGGCTCATTCGTACGTCTTAAACTTTCAAATCTAAAGAAAAGAGGCAATTAAAGGAGTTTCAACATCCCCGAGACTACTGGAACAATAATTAATGAACTAAGCGGACTACAACAAGGCAAACAAAGATAATAGGTTGGTTACGCTCCAGACCCTTGTAATTTTGCCTCTAAGAAAACCCAAGAGGCTAAAAAAATTTTCCATCCTGTTTACAGTAACCGTCGTCCCACTGGAAGCAGTTTGCCTAGCCGGTTAGAGGAAGTTTTATCCTTTCTTATCTTAAATAGCTTGATAAAATGACTCTTTGTTTAACGCATTGGAATCTGAATAAAAAGTCTTAAAATACGAGTTCATCAACCATCTATAAAACGAGAAAAAAGCAGTACAAAACGTTTATTATATAATTTAATCTCTATTTTTGTTTTATACAGTTCTAATTATTTATAATGAATTTGACGTCTAAGATAACTAAATATATTATTTTCTATAAATAAGCTTTAAAAGCAGATAAAATCGTGACATTGCCTCGTCTGGTATAAAATTTAAAAAACAGTGATAAATAAATAGCTCTTTTATAACTTGCGAGATTACCTCCTGTGGTCTGCGGGATGATAAACCTATTGTTCCTAGCTGATTTTTGTTGGTTCAGACCGTTCGGCTTTAAAATTACGTCTCCTTCAGTGTTTGGGTGAAAGATGGGAAATGCCGAATCGCGTCTGAACATGAAAAAATAGCGAAGATGATGGGTAACTATCAAACAATATCTTTTATAACTGTTTCAGCAGTTCAGTTGGAATTTAAAAAAAAAGGAACGATATATATATCTGATAAATTAGAAATTTGAAAAGGCAGTGCGATTTTGGATAGTTGTTCATGGTTTCATGAAAAGCTCAAGAAACAAAGCGATTTTATATTTATGTTGAACTTATGACTACGTTTAACGAAGCGAAGAGAGCTTCAAAAAACATACGTTAGTATTAACCCCGAAGCTCCGGGGTATATAAAATACCACGGGTTTTTAAATTATTTATTTTTATTGTCCATATAGTTTATATGATAACAGCAACAGCCTACGGCAGACGGTCTCAACCCGTGCTTATATTTATTTATTTACGGGCAATAGCCCATTTTATTACAACAATGGCAAGAAAGTATGGAGCGTCGGTGGCTGCAACGGTTTAGGCGTTGACACGGCGCTCATCACTGTAAGGTAAAGGTCCCGGGTTCGAATCCAGCGGCCCTGCATTCCAACCCTACATACTTGCAAATGGGCTTTTTTCAAAACCACCGATACCCTGATGGTTGATATGATCTCTGCAGTTGGGAATCCTCGTAAAACAATTTTTAAAAAAAATTACAAGAAAGAACAATTAAAACATGAAAAGCATTGAAATATGAAAACATTGACAATAATAAAATAAAAAAACAATACATGCAGTATAATTTAGACACCAATATTTGAATACAAAAAAATGTTTGAGATTTGACTAGTAAATAAAAGCAGTTGTAAATAAGATTAATTTATTAGACATACATGTACAGAACAACAATAAACCAGCACATCCGGCATACATATAAACACATGCATATACATACGCACATAAATACATACACTAGATATACTAATTGACCAATGTTGTACAAGTGCCTCTCAAATTCCTCTTCAAATTGGTTTTAGATGTATTGTTAATATCTATACTGTTGGGTCCCAAATTGATCAGATCCATCCTGTACATGGGAGAGCGAAAAGTGTAGTTGGTACGGGAAAATTGATGGTAGAAATTGTTTCACTGATGTAGACAGATAGGACGTGAAATTGAGGTATGATAGCAAATCTGGGGAGTAAATATTATTATTAAGAAGGCCGTTAATAAATATTATATCGGACATATTTCTTCTTCGGGGGAATCTAAATTAAAAGAACTTTATTTGTTGCCGAAGGAGACTAATTTCAGGAATTTCGCTTGTAATTTTCCAACACTATTATATAGCTATATACTTACAAATTGCTTTATTGTAGTAGACGTTTTCTTTTGTTGTGAATAAAAAGTATTTATTTATCTACCTATCTTATAATTGAATTTAACGAAACACGAGGGAAACTTGAAAAATGAACATTAGTGTTAACCCCGAAACCTCGGGGCATATAAATATCACGGGTTTAACGTGGTTATCCATGCTTGACAGCCAGAAGACTCTGATAGACAAACCCGTGACTAATCGTCCTGAGAACCGAAAAAAAAAAAACAAGTGCCCATTCTCGTAGGTTCTTCAGGCGAGCTATTCCGATCAATCAGAGCTGCACTTCTAATTTCCTACTTTTCAGCACAACGGTTTTATAATTTAACGGATCGAAATCCCGACGGACAAAGTGATAGTTTAGCCCAGTCTTCGTGGCAAACTTTCAAGCGGAAAAATCTATTTAATCCTTTCAAGAGAAACGGCCAATTGCTCAAGACATGACAACAGAGCGTCAAGGCTGTCTAAAAGGCCATGCCTAGGGGCTGCGAACCCGTCATTGCATTACTCGACCGTGTGGTCACTATTCCAATAATAATTCCGTGATTTCTATTACTACGACAACTCATAAATAAGACTAAAAATTACAGTAAAAGTACGATTAAATTTGTAAGTTCGCTATTTACTATTCAAATCTTCTTCAGCTGTCAGCTTCAAATCACTTAGCCATCCAAGATTTTTCCCTTTTATTTTATCTCCCTTTTATCTTTGAATAAGAGAAAATATAATCTAATATAATATATAAGATGTGCGATTTCTTCGGGATCTGATATGTGAGTGGTTTTTCGAACATTTTGGTCTGCCCATCTACGCAGTTTTGGCCTGTCACGTTTGGACATTTTATCTCTAGGGGGTCTTCTTCGTACCTGCAGTTTGATCTTGATGTCTCCGAACATACCGGTGATCGCCATTACAAAATAAGCATTACAATTAATTACAAATGCGACTAGTTTAGCTAACCCACTCAATAAAACATTTTTTTAAAGAATCAACTACAAATTTTACTAGTCGTATGGTCCAAACTGAATAGAAGGCGAGAGGAGGAAGAACAGTTAGAAGGATAGAAGAGAGGGAACCGGTCTCTGACGCAACGCATTCCGCATGGAATCTATCAGACACACACACACATATATTTTTTTCATTCTTGTTTATTTATTTATCTTTATTTATTAATTTATACGTCCATAATCACCGAAATAAAAATATAAAGGAATATCCATTAACATGTTTTGTGGGAAAAAAAGTAAAGGAGAAAGGGAGAAAGTAAAAGTTAACACGTAACAATGATTTAAAACATGACCTGATGTAAAGAAAAAGTCAAAACTGTCTGTTTATAAAATTCATAAAAAGTATGGTCTTTTAAATTGTACCGCTTTGATAAAACAAAAATGAGTAAAATTTAAGACATTACCACAATAATTATTACGGAAAGACAAATTGGAATTTAGTTTAATTATTAGATGGCTAGTATTTTAGGAGAAACATACAAGTTGATTAGGAAATGTATGATAGTCCAACAGAAACTGTGTTTCAAAAATAATTTATTTGTACACAAAAAATTATATATATCATACAAATTAAAAATTCAGGTAGCACCAAGGATGTAAAATGGTTTTGGAAAAAAAGCGATTTTGGAATATTAATGAGGATGAGGGTAGGTGGTAGCCGGGCTCTGAATGGTTCCTCGACCCCGCACGAACCGGCAACAAGGAAGGGTCTTTTGTGACCCCCCGGGATCGACGGGACGACAAGAGAAGTCGGCGTTCCTGCAGAAACGGCTTCCGGTGTTCAAGACATCGTGGCTGACTGATAACCATCCCGGGGATGATGCGCTCGACCGTTATATACCTCGCGCTTCGTTCAGTTGATTCCTTTCATCTTCGTCACGCTCCTTTACCATAATTGAATTACCTGCTAGCTCGCGACGACTCCGCGGAGTCCAAGATCAAACCTGGTTTTGCACTTGGTGTACATACAGTTTAGTAATACACTAAATATAGTATAACTTCCTCGGGTTGAAAATGTTACTATTTAACTCGTGACCTTACTTAATTTTTTTCCGCGTATAAATTGCTTCCTTTGGTGCAAGTGGCCTCCTTTCCTACTTTTAAACACACCTTTGTAGTCCACCAATGCTTGACAAGT